GCCCCAGACGCGTAAGCGACAGCGCCTCACGCACCTGAGCCCCGAGGAGAAGGCGCTGCGGAGGTGGGCGAGGGTCGGGGGCCTGGGACCAGATCCGAAGGCGGGACAGGAGCCTGGGGCCGGGTGCTGACCGCCCGCAACGTCGGGCGCCCCTGGCCTGGCCGGTCTGGTGCCATCGTGGCGCGGGGCGGGGCGGAGCAGGGAGTCTGGACTGACCGATCCACCACGCTGGGTGGAGTCCAGGGCTGCTCAGGCCTTTTAAAAATTTCCTTCTTTTCTGTTTCATTAAGAGATGACCAAAGCTGGTTATGCTGGCACCTGGGTTCCAGGTTCCTCCAGCTCTGTGACCACAAACCCGTGGTTCAGCTTCTCTGAACTTGGGCTGTAACATGGAGTCGATTGGTTTACTTACTTTTTTTGGTGTTGCACGGAGCAGAAATGACAGCTGTCGAAGGGGCTGTGAGCACTGTAAGGCTTGCTAGTTAATAGTCTGAGTCTTTAAAATATCTACTTCAAGAGGTCGTTGGGGAGATTGAGAAATGCCTAGTACTTAGTCCTCTGTAAATATTAGTTCTTTAATGATGAATGTGCTTTTTGTGATTTTTAAGTGCCTCCTCCAGCAGACACGGGCCTAGGCTCTCAGCACCAGGGCGAAAGTCCCATCAGCCTCTCCCTCATTTAAATTGGGTTTGGGGAGGGAGGGTTCATATCATAGCGCGATTACAGCCTTCACTAGATTTAATTAGCCCGGTTGGCTCCTGTTCAAGGAAATTGAATTCAGGAAACAACGGGGGAGTAGAAAGGCGGAGAGGAAATACCTAATGATGCAAGATGACTAATATTTGTGTCCAGCCTCCGTGCTGTGGCCGGAATGAGACTGAGGTGGATGACGCAGTAGGGGGAGAATAAAGCAGGTCTTCAGGCTGGATCCAAGAAGGCTGATTTTGTTTGGTTTCGTTTTATCGGGAGGAGGAGCCTGAAGTGTATTTTACCATGTCTACCTCATACTGTAAACTAAAATGAAAGCACCATCTGGCCAAGTTTTCAAATAAGGATATATAAATAAGGCTTGAGATGACTCAGTGTGAGATGTCCCTTTCTGTTCTCAGGAAACTGAAAAACAGAGTGGCAGCTCAGACTGCTAGAGACCGAAAGAAAGCTCGAATGAGTGAACTGGAACAGCAAGTGGTCGATTTGGAAGAAGAGGTAAAGATACTTGAGGCCAAAGTCTTATCTTTCATCCACTGTATATCTTTCCTTGGTGAATGGCCTTTTATTTGCTGCCCATCCCCAGTTTGATCCCCTTTAGAATACAGTTGGACATATACTTAAAAGTTTAAGGGAGAGGGTATAGCTCAGTGGTGGAGTTCGTGCCTAGCATATATAAGGTCCTAGGTTCAATCCCCTGTACCTCAGTATTTATTTAAATCCCCAGTATTTATTTAAATAAATAGGTAAATAGATAAATAAATAAATCTAATCCCCCACCACCACCAAAAAATAAATTTAAAAAAAAGTTAAACAAAGTTAGGATAGATAAGTAATTGGTTAAGTGGTAAAGCTGGATGAGAGCAGAAGTGATTGACCAACCCTCTGGCGTTTGATGCTAGGTCTGTCTCAAAGCTGATGAGTTACAATAATACAACAGTGTTTTATCAGTTAGTACTAAGAAATTAGTGAAAGCAGATAGGAAATTATTGCTTAAACTTGAGACCTTTCCTGGCTTGGCCAAAAGTCCACTAATGGTTCCCTTCCCCTTCTAGAACCTAAACTTAAATTGTTGCCAGTTAACACATCTTGAATACATAAGGATTATTTGTATTGGTTTTGGGGTTTTTTAACATATTGATTGTATAGTCCACCACTACCACTTTTATTATTACCTGCCAGTTCAAGATAGGGTTTTTTTAAACATATCTAAATTAAAGTCACAAGCCACTCTTTGCTGAGGGCTGTATTAGTAGTTGCGGGCATTGTGTTATATGTGACCCCATGAGATGGCACTTCTTAAATAGCTTATTTTTCATAATTAAGATCTTGCCTTCTAATACCTACTGTGAACAACTGCATAAGCATAGTTTCCCAAAAGATCCAGGAGAAGGAAGGGAAATCTATTGTAGTGAAACTTTGTCAGGTGGATTAAGTGAAAGAATTAGATGCTTTAATAGCCTCTTCTGAATTTTCTCCCAGAACCAAAAACTTTTGCTAGAAAATCAGCTTTTACGAGAGAAAACTCATGGCCTCGTAGTTGAGAACCAGGAGTTAAGACAGCGCTTGGGGATGGATGCCCTAGTGACTGAAGAGGAGGCAGAAACCAAGGTAAATCATGTCCTTTATTTGTTGCCGTATGTGAGAAGTGGTTTTAAGTGACATGACATGACCTCTTTCTTTAATGATACTTACTCATTTTTCAAGAGTATAGTGAATAGTACTAAGTCCTGATAATTAAGTTTCACGACTCTCTCAGGGCAAGTACTAATAAGTGCTAGTAGCCAACAAGATTTATCTACCATGCCAGCATTAAGGAGAACCAGAACAAGAGAGCCAGTCAGATCTGACTTTGAATGCTACTAAAATTATAGTAGTTCTTTGATGAATGAATAGAGAAAGGATTTGTTGTGATAATGACACCTTTCTGATAGAAGGGTTTTAATCTATAAATCATGGCAAATTCAGTGGTAACACTTAAGTGGTCTGAGATTGACAGTAGCACAGTTCTGTGAAGGTGATGTTCAGAACAAAGTTTTAAAAAATCACTAAAAAGATGCTGGGCTTAAGTTTACTATAGAATTTTATTACTAGGAACATTATTTTTATCAAGAATATGATTAAGGTATTATTTATTAGTCGTGCCTGAATCTTTGCTTGGGGAAGAAAAATGTTTCATTGTACAGAAAATTGCAATGAAAAATTAGTCTTACCTCCCTTTTCTCATCTGTTCTTGAGGAGGGCTCAAGAAAATGGAAAGAACAAAGGTAAGGGAAAGATTTCAGCTCTAAAGAATAGTTTTCTGTGTTTCTTAAAACTTGAGAATCAGCTGTCTGGCAAGCATTTCTTCAGGGACTCTAGGCTTGTTTGAGCTGTCTATTCACTCCGGTCTTTCCTCCCAGGGGAATGGAGCGGGGCCGGTGGCCGGGTCTGCTGAGTCCGCAGCACTCAGACTACGTGCACCTCTGCAGCAGGTGCAGGCCCAGTTGTCACCCCTCCAGAACATCTCCCCATGGATTCTGACGGTGTTGACTCTTCAGACTCTGAGGTAGGGCTTATTCAGATTTACTAAAGAGCTGTATAACTATTTAATTCCATCTGTTTGATGCCTCACATCCCTAAGCAGACAGATGAGGGTAGCAAAGCTAGTTTTGGTTGAGTTAAAGGTAAACATTGATTACCTTCCTATTTCCAGGTGGCTTAGGACATAAAGTACAGATAAATGGGCCTGGTGAGTCCTGGAGGTTATGCAGCATAATGATTAATTTACATCATGGAACTTAGCACCAAGTTAGACTCTCAGGTGCATTGTAATAGTTGAATTCCATTTAATTTTGTCTTTTACAGTCTGATATCCTGTTGGGCATTCTGTTCAACTTGGACCCAGTCATGTTCTTCAGATGTCCTTCCCCAGAGTCTGCCAGCCTGGAGCAGCTCCCAGAAGTCTACCCAGAAGAACCCAGTTCCTTACCAGCCTCCCCTCATCCATCACTGGGGACGTCATCAGCCAAGCTGGAAGCCATTAATGAACTGATACGTTTTGACCACGTATATACAAAGCCTCAAGTCTTAGAGATACCCTCTGAGGCAGAGAGCCAAGCTGATGTGGTAGTGAAAATTGAGGAAGCACCTTTCAGCCCCTCAGAGAAAGATCACCCTGAATTCACTGTCTCAGTGAAGGAAGAACTTGTAGAAGATGACTTCATTCCAGAGCTGGGTATCTCAGATCTGCTTTCAACCAGCCACTGCCTGAAGCCATCTTCCTGCCTACTGGATGCTTATAGTGACTGTAGCTATGAGGGCTCCCCTTCTCCCTTAAGTGACATGTCCTCTCTGCTTGGTGTAGACCATTCTTGGGAGGACACTTTCGCCAGTGAACTCTTTCCCCAGCTGATTAGTGTCTAAGAAATGATCCAATACTGTTGCCCTTTTCCTTGACTATTACACTGCCTGGAGGATAGCAGAGAAGCCTGTGCCTCATTCAAAAAGCCAAAGTAGAGGGTGTACAGTCCTAGATAATTCCTCTGAAGTGTTTGTTCAAACCTCATAGGTCACCCCAATGTCTTTTGACATTCAGTGGTTCAGGGTACGTAGATATTTTACTGTAATCCAGAATTACAGCTTCTTAGGTTGTACTTTTGTCTTAAGGGCAGTGGTTTGCCCTAAAATACATAAGTCACTGGACAAGTGTCTTAGATGTGGAATTAATGAACATTTCTTTAACATTCAATATATCTCTTCCCCCTTCTTGGTTTCCCAGGCTTGCCTCCAATTTTAGGTCCTTTAGTTTGCTTCTGCAAGCAAAGAAAACACCTACCTGTGGGGGCTCCTTTTCCCTCATGTACAGTTCAAGTAAAGATCAAGAATCTTTTGTAGAATTACGGAAATTTACTATGTAAATGCTTGATGGAATCTTCCCCTGCTAGTGTAACTTTTGGAAGGTGCTTTCTCCATTTATTTAAAACTACCTGTGCAATTAAAAAGTACAATGCAGTGTCTTTGTTCTTTGATTCCTTCCTGAACCTTAAGTCTTAATGTGTTCTCGCTAGGTGTATTACTGTTTGCCATGGTAGTGAGCATGCCACTTTTTAAAGTGACTGAAAGCTTCCATCCCACCCCCCACCCCCCTTAATTACTGCCTGCTTCAAGTCCTGGCTGTTGTAAATAATACACTCTGAGCAGTACTATATTCCTGAGAGTTTTCTTCAGCCAAACTGATCAATATTACAGCTAGTAAATGGCAGAGCTGTATCTTATGTTATAGGACATGCCATTAAGTATCAATATTCTCTTACTGTTATTACAGAAATTAAGAACATTTTCTATACTCAAAACTCCCTGGGTTCACCTCTGCTACCAGTTAGCTGGGTAACCATTGACATAATACCACATTTCTTCATCTGTAAAGGGGCATAATAGACTCTCGAAAGGTTGCTAGAGGATTCAAAGAGATGATGCATTATAAGCACTTAGCATATGAAAGTTTTTGACTGCATCACCCCCAAGCACTCAAAGGGCAACCAGTTACCTCCTAATCCACTTTGGGTTTTAATTTTTCACAGAATTTTTTTTTAAACTGATGCATAGTTGATTTACACTGTTGTGTTAGCTTCCGGTGTATAGCAAAGTGATTCACAGGTGTATATATACACACTTTTTCCTATCCTTTTCCATTATGGTTTATTATAGGATATTGAATATAGTTCCCTGTGCTATACAATAGGACCTAACTTACTTCATATGTAGTATAAATATGTATATTTATATCTGCTAATCCCAAACTCCTAATTTATCCCTCCCTCACCACCCCCCTTCCATTTTGGTAACCATGTTGTTTGTTTTTCTATGAGTGTTTCTCATACAGAATTATATACACTCTAGAACATGTTTCACAAAATAATGAACCTGTAAGAAAACATCCTAGAGACAATACTACCCCCAAACTACAGACTTGGTAACCTCATCATCCATGGTGCATCTTTTCCTTGGGAATCCACTTACAAGCTAATAAAGGAATTCTCTAACTTATAGAAATTATTTTACCCATGCCAGCATTCTATGCCAGGAGGTCAGAGTGAATGAGAAGACCAAATAAGATGGAATTCAAAGAATCCCCAGTGGCAAGGCAAACTGGCTGTGGTTTCGGCCAAGTACAAGGTAATGCCTTTGGTGGGATTGGTGTTGTCTCCACAAGTACACTTGTAAGGCAAGACAGGCTAAGGTCCCTGGTGGCTGAAGCCAGAGTCCAGTGTAGTGCTTGGCAATGCAAACTCACTTAAGCCGAGTTTCATTTACTTAAGGACAACCACACAGATTTAAGGACAGCCTCCAGTTGTTCCCATGATTAAAAACGTGATCCCTGATTATCTAGAACTGAAAACCTGTGTAGTTTACTAATTTTCATTTCCTGCACAGATGGGTGAAAATTACTAAGTACTGTGCTCAGATTTTAGAAAACACCTGCTATTCAAGGATATCTTCATATTGAAACACTAAATTAAATGGTTAAAAATAAAAATCAGTATCTTTCCCTGCAAAACCAAAGCAAGATTTCAATTAAGTGCAGAGGGTTGTCCATAACTGAGCTTAAAAGAATCAAGTGACAGACACCTGCACACCATTTCCCTCGACCTTGTAACGCCAGTGTGTGCTTCCCTGTGTTTCTACTAGGAATGCAAGTGCAGCCAAGTAGGGATAGACTGTAGGCAGGACGTAATACTGCCTACCCCAGAACATTTTATGGCATCATTTAAATTCTAATCCAAGAATTAAATCTTTACCCTATGAGTTCTAAAATTTATAAAGGGACAGGAAGACTGGTTTACTTGCTAACCAGTTGCTGAAACACATCCTCATCCAGCTGGAGCTAGTCTAACATTGTATTCTAACTGCATGCAACTCATCTCTAAGATGCCACTGGTAGAGTATTTGGGCCAAACTGATACATACAAATCTACATTCCCTCAAGGAGTTTACAATTACATTGCCTGAACCATATTTTATTGTAATTATTTCAATAAAATTAAACATTTTAGGTATTCCTGTAAAAAGCCCGTAAAACCACTGGTCAAGTAGGAAGAACACTGGACTTGATGAATTGGATTAGTATACTAAACTGTCACTACCTATTCAGACTTAGTTTCAAAATCTGTAAAAATAAATCAGGTAACATTTAGCCATCATTTCCAAATTTTGGTGAAAAACAAAATATTCTGAGTTTTCTGTAACTGCAACTCAAACTGCTTGCCCACAAATCAGGGATCCACATTTATCAAATAATTGTTGTAAATATGCAAGCAATACTGCCACCCAGTGACCTGTCAATTACTAAGAAAGGAATGACCATGTATGTAATTGAACAGCAAGGGTTTTCCTACTCTAGTATTTAAAGATCCTAAATCTGTAAAAACAACAGAACTGCGAACTATGTATACCATTTCCAACTCCTTTTCTGAACATTTTTGAAGACTCAGTCACCAATGCCACCCCCTCTAAATGCTAGTAATCAATCAACACTGCTAATCAATGTTGTTGACTGCTAACAGCAGTGAGTTGCTAAGTAGCATGGAAAGCATTCTATGGGTTTTAAAATGGCCAAAACATGGTCTGCCTATTTTGGAAATAGCTAAATCACTTATAACCTTTAACCCGACATAATCATCTCTTCAAAACAAATTTAAGTCCCTCAACGATAATAAGTGCTGCTTCTGTACGATTTAGAAAAAAAAACCAAAAAGAAAAAAAATACGATTTAGAAGCAAAGTGACAGCTGATTTCATTTACTGAAGTGCAGGAATACAAATATCTCAAAAAGTCCAAAACACTTAAGAAGTTTTATTGAAAACAATAAAATACAGAGACACCAGATTCTCATTTTAAAGTAAAACAGCATCTTCCAAACTTTCCTAGTACTGCACCATTCTTATTACTACTAAAAAACAAAAAAACCAAGTTCCAGATCCAAAATAATTAAAAGGTTCAACCTGTTGGTAAACATTCTTTTCATGGTTCTAGCTTCCACCCTTTTTTCAAACTTTACATTTGCACCTTTTCAAGAATGAGTAGCAATTTTTACTTAATATTTTTGAGAGCTGGACTTTTTTCGAATTAAAAAAACAAACAAACAAACAAAAAACACCACCACACACCCTACTCAAACTCAGAGAAAATATACATTTGTTCATTAAAGCTCACCTGCTTTAGGTAATTTTTTCTCTTCACACATTAGCATAGTAAGCCAATGTTTAATCCATGCTGCAAAAGCTATACAAAACGAAAAGACCTGTTAATTCCCTAGGAAAACCTTAAGGCAAAAGCAAAAGCCTTACACTGCAAAAGGAAAACAAAGCATGGGGACTGTGAAGATGGCTCAGATGAACAAGCACCACAAGGATGAAGAAGACAATTTCTATACAAACGTAAGCAAGATAAAGTTTAAAAAGGAGCACTGAACACTCATTTTTCCTGCAGAAATAATGATCACATCAGATAGTATGACTCCTGAAACAAGTTGTTTGGATTTTCACTAACGGAATCTTAGCTCTCACCTCTATCTACCAGTGGTAGCAGAGCCTCATTTCCAAGCTCTTCTTTCCTCTGTTCACTCTGCAGACCTTGGTCTGAGGCCTGCCCAACAATCCCCACAGAAGACAGTGTGTTTGGGTACTTCTTTTGAAAGCTGTCACTTCCCCTTAACCTGAACACTGGGACTAACTCCAAATTATTCACTTCATGTTTTCGAGTTGTACCAGAACAAACTTTTTAGCATGGAGATTTCTTTAAGGCTACAAACTTTACAAGTTGGTCCCATTAAACAATAACCTAAAGGCAGGAGTTTTTTAAATGGCATGAATCAAACACTTGCACATTTCAACAGAATACAGTTTACATTCATCTCTAAATCTGAGATTAAGAAAACTATTAGCTGGTTTCCAACTGGTTTCAATACTGGTTTGAAGTTTGAATAATTTTACTGTGTAGACATTAAATATTGTTTAAATATTAAACATTAAATCTTTTCCTGACTATCCAGACAGAAATAGAGAAAATAGAAACAACAGACAGGAGAAGAAACAGTCCAATTAACAGACTTGTGACTTCTATGCCATCTGTAACAAGGCGAGGGATCTCGGCATGGGTTTCAAAATTGCCTGGGAGCTGCCTCCTAAAAAGTCACCTCTAATTGGCATAAACCATTTTCTCTATACAAGATATCTTATTCTACAAAGACAAAAGAAACCCAGAAAACAAAACAAGAACTGGGGTGGTCTCCTGTTGTGTGATGAAAAGGCCAGTATTATACTCATTTAATAAGTTATAGTGGATATTCTGCGGCACTTTGTACTACTGGGTCCTTGCCACGCAGAAGAGCGCTTCCTGAGAAATAAAAAACTTCACTCCTGGTTACCCCCAGAGGACACCCTGAGCCTGGGTTAAGGTCCTCAAGATGAAGATTTCCTGTCAGCAGGAAGCTGTTCTCTACTAACTTTTAGGTTTACGACACAACAGTTGAAGCACCAGGCAAACTGGCCGTTTCAATTAATCTCAATGTCACTTCCCCATATGTTCTCAGTTAATTATTCAGTTATCTAAATCAACATTAAAAAACTCAATGTGCTTATACAGGCACAACCTTTTTTAACTACAGAAGTTACATGCTGGGCTTAACTGATACAGCCACTTCCTCAGAACTACCTAAGAAATGCTTCTCCCAGAGCCAATTTGCACATAGTTACCTCACAATCTTTTAAACTGTATCATTCAAAGTCAATTAAGCTGTAAACATTGCTGAATAGCTGCGCTCATCCATTATGCAAGGGAACCACAGAGCAACCGTAGCACTAGGCAAAAAAGCCTCAAAGGAAAAATCTTTTCTTTGTATTTTCACTGCATTTTCAGAGGCAGAGGTGAGCCACAATGCTACTGGCTATTTAATCAATACAACTACACTGAATTGGCAACTAACACACAAGTTTCAGAGCCTCTGTCAAATTTCCTAGCAATAGGCTTAAGCTACTGCCGTCTACCTCCTTCCCCCTAGTCATACAGTCACCGCTGTAAACAGAGCTCACATCTACAGATGAAGCCGTGACTCAACTGTCAGGGCACACTTGTAGTAGAAGCATCCTTCTGTCCTAATGCATCTTTTTCAACTCAAGTGTCTGAATATTCTCCAAGTGTATGAATGGCTTAGACGTGACAGATGATTAAGTCACGCTTACACACACAGCTTCTACACCTGACTTTGCAGGATGTAATCTCACATTCCTTTAAGAAGCTCCCTAGCAAACTGCTTTTCCCTTGAGACAAGTTTCCTTAGAAAAAAATCTGAATTCAAAAAATGGCTACCCAAAATGAGAGTCCCACCCCAAATCACAGGTGGAGATATTACACCCGTTTCAAAACTTTCAAGTCCCTAAACTATACAAGCAGGCTCATGACTGGACACATGAGCCTTCTAAAATTTGACAACTTTAGTGTAGAAACTGGTTTCTAGAGTTCCATCTCTTCTTCTGTGCAAGCAGCTGTCTCCAAACTATTGTAAACAGGCAACCCTGTTTGCCGAGGTTCCAAGAACAGTTCAGTTCTTTGAGGGAAGGCAGTGCCAGCAGCTGCATGCTTAGTTTGGCTCTCTCCTGTGTAGTTCTTAGCATTAGATGACGGCTTTGGCTTATCAGAAAGGAGTTCAGGGAGAGGTTTCCAGAGCACAAGCTCCATGGAAGGACGGCTCCTAAGATGTAAAATACAGATTTTTGTCAATAATTTTATAACATGAAAATAAAAGATATACATTGAAAAACTGCTACCTAATAAAGAATTGATGGCATCAAAATAGGAGATTAATCCAAAATGATCTTTAGAAAGGCTACTCAATACATAAAACTTTATAGAGTTCTGCATTTTTTTTTTTAATTTTGGGGAGAGGTAATTGGGTTTATTTTTTCTATTTAATGGAGGTACCAGATATTGAACCCTGGACCTTGTGCATGCTAATAAGCACCTACCACTGAGCTATACCCTCCCACTCTGCATGCATTTTTAACCAAATTAACTGGTTATACTGATGCTGTGATTAGAATATAAACATTCCACATGAAAAACAAAGGCCTTTGATTTAACTTATTATAATTTTTTCTTAAATTGTGGTTAGTATTAGCAGATGTGGACTACTATCCTGTACTAAACCATTATAAATGACAATGAAACACTGACCAAACACATTAAAAATATCTCAGTATGCCTTTTGCTTAGTATAGCTATAGTTATAAAGCTTCTTGCAGTTAAGCCACTGTTTGTACCTAACCCCCCAGCCCTCCTTATCTAGTGATGGCTTTATTTTGCTTTACTTGCCCTAGGACCCAAAAGCAAGTAAAGCAAAATAAAATTCAAACGATGAAGAACACCCTTCAAAGGCTAGCTTCTGGAAAACTACCAAGAGCAGAAAGTGCTACGTTTTAGGCTGGAGGGCAATGTGACCTGCTTACTCTTGGCTAAACTATTTACCCACCCTCAGGGCTGGGTAGTTAATTATAAGCTCAAGCTAGGAGACTAATGCAAAACCCTTGTGAGCTCACATCAAGCAGCAGCTGAACCCATTGTGTCTAAATGCAGTAATACCTCATCAACCTGGCACCAGTGGGACTGGAATCCTAAGAGAATTTTTCAGGTATCTGACACTTACCCTCACTGAGTACCAAGTCTACCTGAAGTCTTTTCCGGGCAACACCTAAATGGCACTTTATAACTTGCCTACTACAGCTGACTCTCCATCTATGTGGGTTCTGATCTGGACCATTTTATAAAAGGGACTTGAGTATCGGCGGATTTTAGTATCTATAGGACGTCCTGGAACCAATCAACCATGGAATGACAACTGTATTTTTATAGAGCAGGTAATGACCACTTGAGATTATCTAAACTCAAGGACTACAAGAATTACATGGTTCTCATTAGTTCTTATGTTAATGGGCCCAAGGCTGCTTTGCTTTTTAGGTTCTTATGTTTGCTTTCCAGTTTCCTCTCTTGTCCTCACACTGTACTGTCACTATTATGAGTTTGTCTGTTCTGCTCTCACTTGTGTCTCTGTGTTTCTACTTTGATGACTGAGAAAATGAGATAACAGATGAGCTCATCTAACTGGGTCTAAAGGGCAAAATGGCTCTTAGAGCTAAAGAGCTGAGGGGCTACCCACTGAGACAAGAATACGAGCTTTGGATTGGGACCTTTGTTATAACACTTCTGACTGCTGGGAGACTTCGTTTGTTTCCTAGGTCTCAATGGTGGTCGCAGATAACCAGAGAACCAGGTAAACAGGAAGTCTTGAAATGTGGTTCCTACATCCTATCACAGGAATCTAAGAGAATGGGTTCTCTTGTCAATCCTCCCATTCCCAAATATTAAGACTATTAGTGCATTTCAGGAACTCAAAACAACCCAGTGGTAAGTAGGCAAGGCAGCCACTCCTGCATATTCCCAACTCCTTGCACAGCATTTTGCTCAAAGGCAATCACGTAAGGAAAGGTCTGTTTCCAACCTGGGCTAAAAACACAACCTGCTGTGCTTGCACCTGGAGGATGGTGAGAACAGGATGGGCAGTGCCTAGAGACACTGGGTTTTCCCTCCAACATCCTAACTGAATAGAAACCAGAAGGCAAAACTTACATGGACTCAATCATTTTCTTTGTAAAGACTTCATCAAATTCCCTCTTCAAACCTGTTTTCATGGTATCAGAAAGGACAAGGCTGGGGAGATGGTTAACATTTCTGTCAGCTTCAACTTCTTCATCTTCGTCAATTATTCTAAACACAGGCAGAAGCAGAGAAAGAAAAATTAGTTAGGCTATTATGTATTCTATTAATTGCACAAAATTTAAAAAATAAGAGCAACAGGTGCTACAGCAACAGATCAAGTAAAATATGAGACTATACTTGAGTGAAAGTAGATACAAAAGAGCTGTTCAACATTGCACTTAAAGTTTTACATTAAATGCAATCAAATTTGAAGAATGTGTCCCCGAAAACTCTTATAAACCAAAAATTAGTATTCAGAGACAGTAACTGAAAATATTTAGCCCAGTTTTATGAGAAGAGCGCATTTAACATTTAAGGTATATACTTTGAGCTTCTTGATTTTTATAGTCTGATAGGCTGAGAATCAAGGACTCACCAAATGATGAATCAGACTAAATTTAAAAGAGTAGAGCTACACATACACACACGCGCTATATATATGTATGTGCTGTCCATTTACCTGTCCTCAATTTCCTGAAGCCTCCTTCGGGCAACTTCACACTGTGGTTCTCCTGTTGTCTGATCCATCTCTTCACAAATAACATCTAACATGCCAGGCGCAGAAAGGCCACTAGTGCATGGATTTACTCCATGACCCTCTATATCCTGATGTGCACAAAGAATCCAGTCATTAGGACCAGCACAGAGCCCTGCTTCAGTTAGCCTTTTCTTTCTTACTGGACAACTGAAAAAAAAAAAAAAATCAATGAAAATCCTGACTAATATAAATGAAATGTGTATCACCTCTCTCTCTAATCAAATTCTTCTATGAAAAAACTCTGACTTTTGACAGTGTGTGATTACAAGATGGAAAATCACACGCTTTCTGTTCTGTCATTCTCAGAGCCTCCCTGAGATGTTTCCCTTGCTGTATTTGTCAAATTAGGTTGCACTTGCAAGATTTTGTCTTTTTCTGATTAGAAGTGTTCAGTGTGGGAACTTAATGCCATTCCCACCTATCTGGCTCTGGAGAGGTCAAATGGGAAGTAAAGAAACCAAAAATCACAAAGCAGCAATTCAGTGCCAGCCGTATTTTTCAGATTGCTGTTGCTCCACCACACTAGTCATACAGGTAACCTATATCTCCTTAGGGGAAAATATACATATGCCTCATGGGGGGGGGGTGTAGCATGTACTACAGGTGAGGTTGATATTGCGAATTTCTTGGTTCTCTCAAAAATGTCATTTGCCCCGAGTCCCTGACTAAAAATGGGGCACACTTTTCTCCCACATTGCAACATAAAGTATTTTCACTTCCTAGAAACGGTTGTATTTCATTGAGTTCATCAAATCCAATTTATTTGTTTTGCAGATGTGGAAACTAGGACCTAGAAAACTAAAATGTCCCCTCCAGAGTGTAATGTAAGGTGAGCTGTATTCTGGGCACCAGACTCCAGAGGTAGATCTTGAATCCTACATCTCTATGCCTTTTTCACTAAAACTGCCTGACTTGCTACAGAAGCTCAACTGTTTAAGCTCTTACCATGAACTAGTATTTGCACTACATGCCCAGTGTTTAGCTGAAAGCTGTCCTTAAGCAAGTTAAACAAATAACCTGATGGAGCAGCCCTGTTTCATTTAAGTATTTAGACCAAAAGTACTTTATTGCCTGAGCATCAGCAAGTGCAATCTCAAGACCAGAACACAAACTGCACCAAAAAATTCACTGATGGCTACCACAGCTTCTGATTCAAAAGAAGAGTCAAAGGAAGCAGAATGTATTTTACAAGGAGAAATTTCAATTTCATGTTAAGACTATGAAAAGCAACATTAAAGTCTCTGGCAATATAAAATCTGACAAGTAATGATGCTGCCTTGAACCTAAAGCTTTTACTAGAATCAATTGTTAAATAGTATGTCTAGTTTATAATTAATTTCAATTCATAAGAAAGTATTAAAAATGTCTATCCATACATCAAATATTTCTGTAATATTTGGATAGTTTTAAAGTATGTTATGTTTTGGAAAGCAGAAGAAAAAGTTATACACATAAGAGATCTAAGAAAAAGCAGAGTAAATCTAGAAGGAACAGGTAATTTCCCAGCACATCTAACAACTCAACTGAGTATCAGAGCTGGGTTCTGATCTCTGACATTCAACATAATTTGAGCTAAATAATTTCATGCCTCTAGGTCGTATGCAAATAATTAGAGATTAATGATGATTAAGTCCCAAAGAAAATGTAATATAAAGGACTTTAAAGTTCTGATAAGAGCTATGAAAAGCGGCAGATGGGCAGCACACTTCTGGGCATTCAGCATCCAACTGCCCAGTCCGTTATCATCCCTGGGCCTTAACCTCCCCATCTATAAATTAAAGGCAGTTAACTTTTAAAGCCAATTGTTTTTACACATCAAACTTTTTATTTATGACATTGGAATCCTTTATTCAATAATCTCTTATAGGGGACCCCAAAAGATAAAAGTATCCACAGCAATCCCAAGGCAATAAAGAACTGGTCCAGTGTTTTTTTTAATACTAAGGCAACTTTCAAACCTACTGTCTCATTAGTCTATATATCTGCCAGGTGAGAAAATTCAAAGCTTCTGCTGGCAAAACAAAACAAAACATACATAAAGTTGAAAGACAAACAACAAATTTGAGGAAAACACAATCCATATAATAAACTGATTTAATAAAATTCCTCATAGATTAACAAGAAAAAGACCAAGCCAATAAAAAATTTGCAGAAACATGGATGATTCACAGAAAATGACACACAAATGTCTTAAAAGATTTTCAACATCGCCTACAATTTACAAAATACAAATTAAAACAGTGATCTAAATTCTTTAATTATAAAATCCCTACACTCATTAACAACAAACTTATACTTCAATAAATTACAAAACAAAAATCCATGAAAATAATATTCAAGATACAGACTGCTGCCAGGATCCCAGAATGGTACTCTATCTCCTTTTCCCTATAGGTAAAGTCTTTTAAGGTAACCACTCCATTAAAAAAAAATTATCACATGTAGACATGCAACCTTAGATGGTTTTTAGTTTTGCCTGGTTTTGAATCTTTTATTTGGGGCATTATACTATATACATACACATTCTTGTGATGTATCTTTTGCTCACACTATGCTTATGACACATCTATGTTGATAGGTGTGGTTTTTTTTTTTTTTTCTTTTTCTCCCTTAACACAGTTCAGCAAAGTTTATCCATTTTACTGTTGAGGGACATTCCAGTTTTGAACTGTAACGAAACAAGGATGCTATGAACTTTCTTGTACCTGTCTTCTGATGAGCGCAGGTACATATACAAGAGAACTGTTGGGCAAATGGGTATGTGTGCCTTCAACTCATGATTTAATGCAAAACTGTTTCCTAAAATACTGCAGCAATTTACATTCTCATTCATAATGTTTGACCCCCGTGCTACACAACTGCTCCAATAGCTGGTGGTAGAGTAGTATGTCACTGTGCCTTTAATACATGCACCTTCCTTTAAAGATTGAGGCAGTTAAACATCTTTGCACTTGGTTGGTCATTTGGATATCCTCTTTGGGGAAGTCTTCTACTCATTTTTTTAACTAGACTGTCTGTCTATGAGATCCAATTTTTTATCTCAGTTAAGTGCTGCTCAAAAAGTTTGAAAATACAGTTCTAGTGAGAAGATGGAGAAACAAGCATTCCCACCACTAAAAGGAGATAAACTGGCAACAACTCTTGTTCAAAATTCAAAATGCACACACTTTAAGATCCAGCAGTTCCCCATCCAGGAATCCATTTACCTACTTGCAAATAAATTCAAGGAACTTAAGAGTAACATGAAAAGATCGATATGTTGCAGTGTGAACAGTACCTTACTACAAATGTAGTATATATAATTTGTATATACAATTATATACAGATGTATATACAATTATATACAATTATAAACTTGTAAATTTTCACATTACCTTCTTTAGAAGAAACAGGAAACAGTTAACAAAGGTAACCTCTGGGGAGAACTGGGAGCAAGGAGTGTTAAGACTTGTTCAACAGACTTCTGCGAATTCTTTTACTTTGTGCATGTAATAATATTCACATGGCTCAAAATTCAAACATTACAATCCATTTTGAGTAAAAAGTTTCTCTCTGACCTGCCCAGCTCCCTCCTCTAAAAGGCAACCCATGTTATCAATTCCTTGGGCCTCCTTTCAGAGACACCTAACGTTTCACCTTTTCACTTAAAACAAGTAATTACGGATATAAAATAGGTTAAATAAGTGACTATTAAGCGAATAAATGAAACCTGAAACTTACTCATCATCCTCCTCCTCTCGCTTGTGTTTCTTTCTACAGTGAACTGAAACACTGTTGAAACAAATTAAAAAGTCAGTCAGTTGAGAAACTGAGTTTGTGCGTTCAGTATCTACTTTCTCTGGCTCTGATAATCTTGCGCACCCCACCCCTACCAGCTGCCCTCTTCCTTGCCGAGTGGGATGGATACACAGGTCCTAGGGTCAGTCAGGTAAATGCTGGATAACTCAATTAGAGGTTGAAATCTAAACTTCTCATTTGGCCAAGACCGTAGGAGATAAATTTGGGGGGGACCAGAGTAGGGAAAACGCATTCGGGGCGGGCACCGTGCTAAGCACTTAGTATTATGATCTCACTAGGAGCACCCATTTCTGTCTCAAGTTGCGGACGAGGAAACTCGGTGTCGAAAGGCGCTAAAAGTTACCAGCGGCAGCGGCCGCGCCGCGGTGTGGAGGGGAGCGAGGCGGCCCCGCGCCGAGGGCAAATCTAGACTTCGGTCGGCCCGGGTTCCCATCCCCGCGCAACCTGAGTGAGCTCCGGGCGGTTTCCTCCCTTGCCGGGCGCAGGCGGGCCGAGGTCTGAACCGGACTCCCGCGCGGTGCGACCTCGGGCGACTTGAGGTAACCGCCTGTGGGGCTCAGTCTCCTCATCTGCAGCCTGGGGCTGAGAAGCCCCCGTAGAGGGTCACGGG